TATCACGCGCGTGGTTCGAGGTTAAATCCAGGATCAGCTCCCGCCCACGCCAACCATGCCTTCTAGTCGGGAACGGTAGATTGGTTCTAGATCCATGTGGGAAGATAAGAATGCTGGCCTGTTCACCAGCTAGGCCCACGCAAGTCGTTGAGCAGGTCACATCGCATTCAATAAGGCACTGCCATTCAGAGTGGATGTACAGTGGAGAATTTGACCTTCTTGCCTCAAGCAGCGTTGACTTTGACCTCAACTTCTTACCTCAAGCAGCGTTCAGGAAAAGGCGTTGCTGAAAAATTTCTGTATCTAAAATGTCACATTCATAGCTGATAAACATTTTTTTTCAGAAAAATACCGCGACGCAGTTCATCTCCTCTTCACGATTTATAGACCCGGTATCTAGTGAATGCATTAATCCTAGAATGATCAAGGTCTCTTTTTGGTGTTTAATCGGTAAAATCGGGACATTTTTAGTATATGGACAGTTTTTCAGGCTGAGTTATTAACTGCAGTAGAACGACTCGGTCCTTCACTCCCTCCTAACACATTGGATCATCTCATCGACCAACTTGGTGGACCCGAATATGTTGCAGAGGTTTGTTGTTTGGCTGCGCCCTATTTTTGTGATATATCTCCATTCATTTTTTGTTTATTTTGTTTTCGTTTTACCAGAGCTGCTTTTCGCTTAAAGGCATTAGTCTGGCAACATCCTCGAAAACTAGGTGTCATGCTCAGAAGTTTATATGATTTTTTGTCCCAATTGCTTCTACGGCAGCATGAGGCGGATCTGCTCCTGCCCAGTATAAAAAATTCTTATCTCGTAGGATAGTAAATTGGTACCAGATACGTCTGGAAGAATAAGAACACTGACACGTACAGTGGCTGGGCCCGCAAGTCCATCGCATTCAAGTTTACGTTCGTTCACAGCTATCATTTTCTGTCAACTCCTCGTTCTCCCCTGCTTATCCACGTCTTCCTCTGCCATGTTTCGTTTACATATCCTAAGTATACAAACATACATGTACATGCACTCATAAGTC